ATAATAATAATAATAATAAATAATAATAATGTAATGTCAGAAATATCGCGGTATAGCTGGCTTAGAAAGACTTACGTAGAAGCGTTAAAAAATGAACAATTTACACAAGAATGCACTAAGAACTAAGGATCACTGCAGTAGCCATTTTGGCCCATGCCAGATAGGTTTAACTCAACCCATTCGTGTACCCATCCAACTAATATTTTAAGGTGTCTTAATCTCGGCACTAAGAACACACAACTAGGCTAGACCTAAAATTTATGACGTTGATATTTACTATAAGCCGTTAAAAATAATAAACGAGCCTTGAATAAAGAGTATAAAATACTGAGAGGAATTGACAAGGTGGACAGAGCTTGAATGTTTCAGAGATGAGATAAAGGAACATGAGGACACAACTGGAAGCTGAAAACCCACATGAGTCATAGGGATGTTAGGAAGTATTTCTTTAGCTTTAGAGTTGTCAGGAAGTGGTATAATCTGGAGAGTGAAGTAGTGGAGGCAAGTTTCATACATAGCTTTAAGAAGAGGTATGATAAAGCTCATGGAGCAGGGAGAGAGTGAATTAGCATCGACCAGTGAAGAGGCGGGACTAGGAACTATGACTCGACCCCTGCAATCACATATAAGTGAGTACAACACTGTGGCTGGAACAGCTCACAAATAACCCACATTAAGCCAGTATGGGTTTATAAAGCTTCATAAATAACCCACTTTAAGCCAGTGCATTTTGTACTTAAAGCTTCATAAATAACCTGCATTAAGCCAGTCAAATTTGTACTTAAGGCTTAATAAATGCTATTTTTCGAAATATTTCCTGCTCTTCCATCGGCCGTACTTACTCCCGGAAACCCTCACCATAAATTAGTGCTAAAATCAGCCAAACATTTATTATTAGTAGTAGTAGTATTAGTAGTAGTAGTGTATGACCCTTGTAGGTTTACCGCTTGGTTATTTAACTATAAATATTAGTATTTGCAATAGGGGAAAAAGTCCTTTGATATTCCCGCCATTTAGTAGAAAAAATGGCGGGAAGGTGAAGGCGGGCGGGGGAGGGACGCCTCTCCCGCCATTATTATCTGAGTTTTCAGTGTGATAACATCTCTGGCTGGAACCTCGATATGTTGGGCATCTTTATATCATTCTTTTAAGGTGGGTCAGGTGCTGTTGTTCACTATTATGCTCTACGTTATCCTGTAATTACGTTGTAGTGTGGTAAAGTAGGCAATGTTGAAATTATATGTGGATCATTGTCACCCGTCCAGGGGTTCCTCGAGGCTCTTGATCCAGGGAATTGAGCCTGACCTCCGTTTCATTGGATCATAAATGACTGCATCTCATTCCCCCAGGCGCTGTATGACCCTTGTGGGTTTAACGCCCCCTATGAATAAGTCCACTCAGGGGGAGGAATATGTGTAAGGTGTTAATAAATTCTCGAACAAACATATTTTAGAAAATGCCACTATGAGGACGGATTTAGTGATTTTAATATGACCGGTGGAGCCCAGTGCTTCATATATCACTGACAACACTCAAATATTTTCTAGTCACGTATTAATTTTAAGTGAACAGTAGCCTTATGTATGGCAGGATCGTGGGGCGTCATAACGCTTTTACTTTCTAATATTAGACTAAGTGGTTATAAATGACTTTTTTAAAGGGGTGGACCGGTAAGCCAGCGGAAGGCCTCGGTCAGATGACCAAAATCTCAAAAGGCGGGTCATCTGAGTAAGACCTTCGTCAGGAAATACTTGTCTTGTTTCCTGACGAACCTGACCTAACCTAGCTTCATTATTGATTATTTAAAGTGTTAATTGTTCCAGAAAAGCTAATATCTAGATAGCTTTTCTATGATGTGTTTAAATTAAGCTGTCGGCTAACCTGACTTAAAGAGTAGCATTTGAAAATAAATGGTCCAAGTGACTTATTTTTTCCGCGTATTAGGAAAACCAGGGCGTTCAAGAGGAAAGCTGCCAGCAGCAACAGCTTGGTTGACCAGGCAGTCACCAGCCAAGCCTGACCCAGGGCCGAGCTGTGTAAGAAACTAAACCTGTAATGGAAAATATTGCAGAAAAGACGTAAGTAAATTTATTGTAACTTATAATGGGTCAAGCCCGTGTGTGTCGTTCCCTTAATATTATTTAGTTATTCCCACCATTTGGAAATTCCCGCCAAAATGGAGAATAAAATATAGAAAACGGGAAATTGGCGCCAAGCGGCGGGATGGAGGTCAGTGGCGCCACTCAAGTGGCGTCTGTGTGGTAACGTTACTGGTGCTAACTCCTGAACATCTGGTCATCAGTTTTTTTTTAAGGTATGATAATATTTTTATTGCTTTGATGTTGGCAAAGAGCTCTTGATCCAAGAAAAGTAGTCTTTCACCACGGGTCAAAATTGAATGCCTCCAAGGTGCTGTATGACCCCTACGGGTTTTGCACTTCCTTTTTTTTTTTATTTTTTCTGGTTAAATTATTGTATGGTGGTATTAAACTAATAAGATAAGGGGATTTCGTTCTGATTTTTAACCCAGGATAACCTAAGAAATGCAGTGCGTCATTGAGGACTGTTAACTTATTACCATTGGGGTCCTCAATCCTGTCTCCCAGGATGCGACCCACACCAGTCGACTAACACTCGGGTACCTACGTGCTGCTAGGTGAACAGGACAATAGGTGTAAGGAAACGCGTCGAAATGTTTCTACCCTGCCGGGAATCGAACCCGGGCCCTCCGTGTGTGAAGCGAGAACTTTGCCAGCCACTCTCGTAGCAGCATCAGAGTCAGCTGGCCAAGAATGTCTGGATTTTGCAGGTCGTTCATAAACTCACGCAGTAAAATACTTCAGAAACTATTAAATGATCAGTAGAGCACTAGGTGCCTCATGTCCCCTCGTACCTAGTGTCAGGATACCTCAGCCTCGTGTCGTAGCATTGGGCTTTTGCTGCATTTCCTCGAATCGAGTCTGAATTCCTTCTAGCCCCCAGAATCTAACCCTTAGGGTTTTAGTGTTTCTCATAAATGTTATGTCAGTCCCGCCAAATCGGAGAATAAAGTTATAGAAAATGGGAATTGGCGGCAATACTCAGGTGAGCTGTGCGTGGTGGCGCACAGCTCACCTGCACTACCACTGGGCGCCACTTTACTGGCATCACTTGATGTCTTAACAAGAGTAGATGGTGCTAAGACGTCTTGATTATCTGGGCATCGCTTATTAAGGTAAGAGGTAGATGATACTCTTTCCCTCAAGGGAGGCACCTCGATGTCAGTGCAGGGGCTCTTGATACAAGATAAATGAGTTATTCTCCAATTT